GAAATGCTTTTAAGAAACTTGAGGAAGTAGCAGGTAATTCCTTATTCTTCTGAATGGGTAGCATAGGTGTCCTATGTGATTTTCCTAGAATGTAGCATTTTCTGGGCTTGCTTTGATTATTTAGGACCGACTTCTTTACTACTGCGTTTCATTTTGGTGTAGAACAGCTCTTGGAAAGATGAGATTTATCTTTCTATGTGTATTACACAGCTGTGGAAGTTTATGATCATCTTTACAGGGTGGTGTGCACAGTGAAAATGATTTTGAATTTTTAAACTGGACCTCAGTTTGGTTGTCTGGGCACTTCTTAAGGTGTACCTAGTCTGGAGCCATTCTGTGTTGTACTTGAGTAAGTGGGAATGACATCCTGGTTGGGCAGTGAAAGACTTCTCTGGAGTGTGTGCTTGCAGGTTTCTAGAGTTTGTAGGGATAATTTTGCTCTAGAGTTTGTAGGGATAACATGGGTAACGTATTATTTTTTTCTTCAAAATGTGGTGTTATATCATGTGCAGTTCTAACTAAAGGGAAAAAATAGAGGTGTCTGATGGATCTGAAGCTGAGGTTTGGAACCTTCCCTTGAGGAAGTGATGTACAGAATTTGGCTCAAGATGAAGCTTCACAGGTGATGCCTCTCACCAGGGAGCTCCCCGAGCTGTGGGAGCACTGGATCAGATGTGTGTGGCTTTTGTCAGTGTAACTGTTGTTCATGGGGGTGCAACATGACCTCAGTTGTGATTTTACAGGCTGTCTTGACCAACAGCACTTACCTGGTGGCTTGCTTGTGCTGCCTTTTCCTTTGAACCCGCTGTGCTGGGATGTAGCCAGTAGCTCTGTTTTCTGTATTTCAAATAGAATTTGAATTTATTATAACTTTTGGAGTCCATTTCTACTTGGCAAACTGAATTTCTGTGTCTGGAATAGTTTTGTGACTTCCAGACCGTGCTGTACTTTAATCTGCCAGTGGCAGTCAAGTTGGAGATTGTTAAACTGTCATTATTGCAAGCTGATCTGTAATAAATCCTTTATAAATGAAATGTGATACCTTTATGGAAAGCAGTTTGCTTTAGCTGCTGATTTTGCTTGGGAAATATTCACTGTCATCTGTAAAACAGAAGGTTCAAATAGTAGACATCAATATTAGTTATCAAGGATGGCTGTGAGGAATAAATAAGAAATCAATGCATTTTAGAACTTCTGGAACTGTTGGAAAATAGAAAAAATTGAACATTGCAACAAATGTGAATATTCTTTCATTGTAAATATTGTTGCAAGTCTAAAAGCTAAACTTATTTTGTGTGTATGAATGGATATAAATAAGGGTGCTCTCTGAAAACCCAGGGAAACAACATGAAATGTGATTTTGAACTGTTGATTCGAGCGTGCAGGCTCAATGCAATCGGTGTTCTTGAGTGTAGATGAGGAAGAAAGGAAGGCTGTTAATAAAAATAATACACCCCCAGGTTCTTTCAGTCTAATTACACCAAATGTGTGCTTAGCCTGAGATGAGAGCCTTCGTGCACTGCTCGAGCTCAGTAACCACTGGAGCCTTTCTGTCCCGTGGGGTGGCCGTTGCACAGCTCTGGTAAGTGGGGAAGCACCTGCTGATCCCTGTGCTTGTCTCTGGGAGGGAGCTGGCACGTGCCAGCAGGGCAGCTCGAGTGATGAAATGCCAGGATGCTGTTGCAGGGTTGTGTGGAAGTGCAGAACACAAAGAAAGCATCACAGGCTGAAAGAGGAATGGGGAGAGGGGATTAGGGCTGGGGTGGTTCTGAGTCCAAGGACTAGTTGCTGGTGTTTTCAAAGCTTTTGGGATGGCCACTCCTCTTGGAGGAAGGGAACTGGGACTTAGTGGAGAAAGTGGAGATGAAAGTCAACTGATACATTTAGGATGAACTATTCAGGTTTTTTTAGAAAGATGCAATTACTATAGTAAATTACAGTTTACTGTGAAAATGAAAGCAAATTCCAGAAATCTTGCTTTAGGGAGGAAAAGAGAAAATTTGAGCCCATATTATCATAATGAAATCCTGTTTAAAAATCACTGATAACTGAAGTTGGGGCTAGTTTTCCTAATTGCTGAGGAACTTCACTATTTTTTCTTTCCATTTGTTTTTTTTGTATGTGTGTTTAGGGATGCAGATATGTTAAGCTTTTGATTTTTTTGATCTTTTCAGATGCAGGCAGGTTTCCAGAGATTTCTGCTGCTCAGTAAGTGCATGAGCAGAGTGACTGGGCGAAGTTGCCTAAGTGGAGGCTAAGCAGATCTTCAGGCTTGGCTGAAATGGATGCTGTGCCTTAACAGACCAACTACTCCTCACTCTTGGCTGCTGGGATGTCTATGATCAGGGTTTTCTTCTGCTGTTATTCAAGGAATGGATTGATACTGGAGAACATCATACAGTGTGTTTGGAAAGCCACAAAGTGAAAAGAAGGTTGTGTGGGCTCTTTGAGGACATCCATAGGCAGTAATATAGAAACAATTGCTGGCTGAGGTTCAAACTGATGTTTTCAGATTAAACATGAATTTTTGTATCCGAGTCTCTTAAGGAGCCATCCTTCTTCATTCTGTAAGGATTCTGTCTGTAGTTGTTAAAGCCACTTTCTTGTTATCCCCTGAGCTGATGAGGAAGGAGTACAGCTGGTTAGAAGGACAGCTCCTGCTCAGTCACTCCCAACAGCTGGCCTGGCTGTGCTCTCTTGGGTTTCAGTTGTCATGTGCACCAACGAGTGCTCTTTGATCTCTGGATAGAGCAAGGAGATACAGTGGGAATGGAGTCCTTGTGGTTTGTGACTTCCCCAGGAGTTCAGCAGAACATCTGGGCTGTGTTTCAAGGGAAATCCTTTGCCATTACTAAATCCAAAACAGTTGGATGGGACAGGCTTCTGAGTATTAGGGTACTGAAAGACAAATCCTTGAAAGTGACGTATTTTTATGATTTTATTGCTCCTGACCTGAAGAAGAGATTCAAGTATCAGATGAGAGGTGATTGGGTTTGAGAACTTACATCCCTTCACCTGCTGGCTTCATTGTGTGGCTTAACAGTTCCCATCTCAGACTCTTCCTTTTTGGAGTCTTTGTAACATGGAATAAATATGTACAGGCTTGTTCTGAGTGCATCTTGAGACCTGCAGTAGTGGCTTCCTCCCAGAAAGGGACCACAGCTGATTGGGGATCTAAAGCTTATGGGGAGCTGTTTCTTTGAGGCTGACTTTACTCCTGATCCTTTCAGCTCTAGTGGAGAGGAAAGGTGCCTCCGGTTAGTACAGAAGTGCCTGTGGTAGTAGAGGAAAACAGAGGCAAAATGTTGGCAGGGGAGCCCAGACTGGATATCCCAACCTTCCTTGTTGTCAACGGGTGTTGTACAAATTTGTAGGGTCGTGTGGAACCGCAGAGTGCGCAGATGTGAGGCTGTGTGAGATGTAAGCTGGTCTGGTGGAATGGCATGTGTGGATGAAGAAAAAACCTGGTACCTGTGACTTGAGATTTTAGGAGAAATGTATTTATTAAAGGTAATGGTTTCTTCTGTGAATCTTATTTGGGGTTGAAGGCAACTGAATGGAAGATGGATGGCTCCAGCCAGTAGTTTGAACAGTTGACCAGACTCCTTCAAACAAACCTCTTTGAAAATGCTGGCGTTAAAACAGATGATATGATGATGACCTTAGTTGAAAGCTGAAGCTGAACTATGATTGTCTTTGCCTAAAGCTTTGCTAATTCTTACTGAGTGCTGGTTTTGTGCTGCCACCATTACTGGAGCATCTGAGTGCCGTGCACTGGTGTATTAAGTGACGTCGTTAACATCTGTCCAGGGCAGATTGCAGACTGGGATGTCCAAGGGATTAAAGGTTGTGCAATAGAAGTTCATCTCTTCAAGATAAATATTTACACCCTGCAAGTATGAGAAAGCCATGGGATACTCGAGTACTAGAAAGACCAAACAAATAATTGCTTATTTTCCAAACTCCAAAGGAACTTCTCTATGAAGTGTTCCCATTTAAAGCATTTCTTAGAGCCTTCAAACTGTCCAGTCTCTGTAATGTTTTGATGCTTGAAGGTTTGCCTTCTGAATTCCGTTTTGAGAATTAGAGCTGTTCCTCGAACAGAAGCGTCTGCAGTTCCATGTGCAATAACACGTAGTTATCCCCGGTCCCGGGCTGATGTTAAGGTTTTTCGGAAGAGAGCAGGGCAGAGCACGGGTGCTCCGTGGTTTCCGTGGGCGAGCAGGGGGTCTCTGCAGGCAGGGGGGGCTCTGGCGGAGCTCCCACCGCGAGGGGCGAGTCTCGGCTCTCCGGGGTCCCTGTCCCTGTCCCTGTCCCTGTCCCTGCGCGGGGCTGTGGGCGCCGGCCCCGAAGAAGGGGCTCCTCTGCTGGAGGAGCAGCACCGGGGCAGAGGGACGGGCCCTGCGGGGGCAGCGGGAGCGACAGGCAGAGCCCGGCAGGAATAGGTGGATACAGGAGCCGAGGACGGCGGGGGGCGAGCCGGGGGGCGCGCGGGGCTCTCTCTGTGCCCAGGGTCTCTCTGTGCCTCTCTGTGCCCGGGCTCTCTGTGCCGGGGCACGCGGGGCTCTCTCCGTGCCCGGTCTCTCTGTGCTCGGAGCTCTCTCTGGCTCGGAGGCTCCTCTGTGCTCGGAGGCTCTTGCTCTCTCTTCCCGGTGGCTCTCTGTTGCCCGGTGGCTCTCTGTGCTCGGAGGCTTCTCTGTGCCCGGTGGCTCTTGTGCTCGGGCTCTCTTGCTCGGACGCCTCTCTGTGCGGAGCTCTCCGTGCCCGGGCTCTCTGTGCCCGGTGCTCTCTGTGCCCGGTCTCTCTGTGCTCGGAGGCTCTGTGTGCCCGGTGGCTCTCTGTTCGGAGGCTCTCTCTGTGCCCGGTGCGGCCCCCGCGCTGCCCGTGCCCGGGGGCGGGAGGGGCGGGAGGGCCGTGCCCGCAGCGCCCGTACCGGGGCCCCGCCCCGGCCGGGCCGCGCCCCTGACGCTCCGCTCCGCTCTGCTCTGCTCTGCCCGCAGATGGCCGCCTGCGTGTCCCGGGTGGAGCTGTCCGTGTCCTGCCGCAGCCTCCTCGACAAGGACCTGCGCTCCAGGTCGGACCCGCTCTGCGTCCTGCTGCAGGATGCGGGGGGCGGCCGCTGGGCTGAGGTAAGAGCGGCCCCGAACGCGCCCGGTCTCCCCCTTTCCATCCCGCAGGTTTTCCTAGCCCAGGGCGTGACACGCTGAATTCGGATTTTCAGTTGGTGAGCAGTCCCATTGCCCAGGCTCAAACCTGCAGTGGTTTTGTTAATCGCTCGCTCTTTTGCTCAGAGTTGCATCGGGAGGTTCGTTTGCCTGTTACAGTATAACCTGCCCCAGAGCACACACTCCAGAATACAGTGTTTCACCAACTTTTTCCCCCTCATTGTCAGAATTTTCCCATGCATTAATGTTTATTTTCCAATGCCATTTCCTTTCCTGGTGAGCCATCGGTCAGCCTGGTTCATCTCCAAACACGAGGTGTGGTCGGGCGTGTGTAGCCCTGCTGGTGCCTGTGTTCACCCGGTGCGAGTAAAAAGCTGTGTGGGAGAACGTGTGCCTCTTCCTCGCCATTAACAGCTCTGCTCCTGTGTGTTCGTGCAGCTGGATCGCACGGAGAGGATCAAGAACTGCCAAGACCCTGAATTCTGCAAGAAACTGGTTGTGGATTACTACTTTGAGAAAGTGCAGAAGCTGAAATTCGGCGTGTATGACATCGATAACAAGACCTTGGATTTAAATGACGATGACTACCTGGGAGGGATTGAGTGCACGCTGGGACAGGTATGTGGAGGTGTGTCAAATGATCTACAAAGTAGCAGCAAGAGTTGGGTATATTATGAAAAATTAGGTGAAAATCTGCTTTATCAAAGGCTTTGTACACATTCAAATTTGAAAACACACTGTTAAACATGTTAGTTTGTGTTACTGTTGAACACAGTTAGAAAAATCATTGTGTCAATCACAAAGTGAAGGTTAGAAATACACATGATGTGTAATTAGTGGCTTAACTTAGGAGGCACTTGTAGCACCAAAGGCAGTTTGGGAGTAAGGAAGCAAGAGAGCTTGGAGAGCTCTCATGGAGCTTCCTTTGCACAAAGGGACCATCAGGCAGTAACTTTGAGGAAATAAGACTACTGGAGATTCTGTACTTGTTTCCTGAGGAGAGGTTTGTATAGTGAGGTAGGAGAAGAAAAGTGGGGCTCACATTTATTAAAGAAAGACTCAATAAATTTAATACTATTTTCTGGTTTTTGTAGCTTTTTGGCTCTTGTGTCACAGAGGCAGCAAAACTAGATGGCTACAGTTAACTTTGGAGATGTGTTTGTGGGCATCTTACAGTTAACTTTGGAGATGTGTTTGGGGACATCTTACAGTTAACTTTGGAGATGCGTTCCCTGGATAGTGAGAGAAGATAACCTTCAGACTGTATAGCCATTCAGAAGCACAAATTATGTCTGTCACTGTTGGTAATGCGTTTAAATCTTCTTAGGACTTTTAGGAGAGTTTGAAAATTTTGCACCTGAAGAAGAATTCTTTGCCCTCTGTCTAACTTGATATTTAGATTATCTGTCTTTTAACCTTAGGTTGTGTCCAGCTCTGTGTTCACTCGACCGCTGGAATTGAAGCCGGGAAAGCCAGCAGGGAAGGGCACTATTATGGTAAATAAGGGTTTGTGGGAAAAACTCTCTCATATATTGGCTGGGACAAAGCGGCATTTCTGGTTTTGTGTTAAGAGTTTCTTTCATGGACAAAGTATGAGCAGAACTCTGATCTCTTGTTTAATTTTTTTTTACCCCTAAATTTCTGTGGCACAGATTTCAGCAGAGGAGATTAAAGATACCAGGGTTGTGTACCTAGAAATTGAAGCCCAAAACTTGGACAAAAAGGTATTGACTTTTTTAAAATTGTATTGCATGCTTCTGTAGTAGTTACAGTTTGTGCCTTTTGTCCAGGAACCTCTCTGTGTTTGCAGACATTCAGCTAAGACAGTAATCCATGTGTGAGCAAAGGCTCGCTGTGTTTTGTTACTTACAGTGCAGTCAACTGGAGACACAATTTCATGTTGGAAACCACAATGTCAAACCAGAAACTCAACTGCCAGGTTTAGGTTTTGGGGCATTAATTTGGCTTTGGAACATTATGTATATTAATAGAGTTTGGCTACATAATTGTCTTCACTGAGTACTGTAGCTGTAAAGTGATCTTTCTGTATTTTCATTAAAGAAGAAAAGATGGAAATTTAGGTGTGCTGCTCATTGTTATTTGAAGCCAAAGACCAATCCAGGGATTTAGTGACCTAACTTCTCAGTCAGCAAAATGATGTGATTTATATAGTGACAAACATGGTCTGAAGGGGCGGTCTTGGAACTGGAACTGATAAATTCTGATGATTTATAAAGTGCAGCAGTTTGAAAGAGAAAAATAAAAGTAAGGAAAGAAAACAAACGTATAGTTTGTTTGACTTTGTGCTTTGTTTGAAGTATTGTGTACTGATGAGCCAGCTCTTTACTCATTTTGGATAAAATGTGATGACTTCTGCTGGGTTTTTGTTTGCAGGATTTCTTAGGTAAATCAGATCCGTTTCTGGAGTTTTACAAGCAGGGTGATGCTGGAACGTGGCAGCTCGTGTACAGATCAGAGGTAGTATTTCCACACAGTGTTTTTCCTGAGATGATCAGACAGTTAATTCCTACTGAGAGTGGGAGTCCCACTCCTGGTCATGCTTTGCACCAGGTTTGCAGAGAAAGTTGTACCCTATAAAAAGGAATTCTGCTAACTGAGCCTGCAGCGAATTCTTTATTTGCTGCCTGTTTACTGGATGAAGCTGCTGAGTGAGGAGCCTGACCACAGACAGCAAGTGAGAAGAGTTACTCTCCTCCCTTTTCGTGGGTTGAGCTGTTAGGTTGTCTTGGCTCTCAAATTGAACTTAACCCTGAACATCTGTCTTTTATTTCTGACAGAGCTGTTGCTTGGCTCTCGATACATGTCAGGGTTGAACTGACTGAGGCTGTTCTCAGCTTGCCATGCAGAGCCCTCATGTCATGTTTCCTAGTGACTTGCATGCTGCATCCCTCACATGACATTATGCTGAAATTTTTTTAAGGTGATCAAGAACAACTTAAATCCATGCTGGAGGAAGTTCAGTGTTCCCTTGCAGACGTTCTGTGGTGGAGATTTTAATAAACCTATCAAGGTACAGCCTTCAGAAATTCTTTGTTTGTTGTTACAAGTCATCTGTTCTCTGTAAACTATGAGTTATCAGGCTGTCTAGTCATATTTTAATTTTTAGATTGCCTTTCTAGAATTGTAGCGTGGCAGGTAAGTGATCATATTCTGTTAAGTATGTCTGTATTAAAATATTATGAGTTTTCAAATTGAGAAGTGCAAAAGTGACACAATTTCTAATGATTAGTCACGAGAAGAATTATAACTGGTTTTTCTTTACACTATTCTTTCCAGGATTTCAGGTTGGACTTCAGTAGTGGTGTCTTGTTTGGTTTTGATTTTTTTTGGAGGGGGCTTTCTACCACTGTTTCTAAGTTAACTGAGAAGCTCACAGATGTTGGACAAGCTTGACTGCCTTGGGATACTGACACTGAGAGGACCTTAAGGCATCTGTCACATTTGTCCAGTCATGAGACTGGCAGGCTTCTCCCAACTCTCTTTCTACCTATTTCAAGTAGAAATCTAGTTTTGAGTCAGAACTGCAATTCCCTGTGTTCTTGTGTATGATGACTAATTCTCTCTGGTCCTGGCTTACGGAGGTGGCAGCAGAACAGTGACGTCTTTTAATATGTTTCTACCAAAGAAAGTCTGATAGCAACTTAATTTGTTATTTTTTCTTCTAAACAATGCATTGATAATTTAAAGGCATTTCAATTAATAGATAGTTCTGTGTGAATATAGTTCCTCTCTGCTTATCCAACACCTAAATACTTTGCATTTGCAGAATTTTCCTGTTCCATCCAGTCTTTGAAGATATCTCATGCTGGAAGCTTGGCCTGGAAGGTTTAGCAAAAAGCATGCATGCTAATGTTGTTTTTTGTGCAGTGTGGCAGGTCCAAAGAATTACTGAGGTTATTAACCTGGAAATAGGTGTTCAGATGTGCTGGGCTTACAGATAGGTGGCAGTGCTCTAAGTGGTGTTCATGAGCTTTTATTGCTGAGGAATCAACAGTCTTAGGTCAGAAAAATCTCCTCTTGGTCCAAGAGTGAGCAGCAGATGTGTGAAGGAGATGGCTGAGAGAGGCATGTTTGTCAGAACTGGCACGACATGGCATGGTTTGTTCTGTTATGTGGGGCTGTGTTTGCTATAGTCCAAAAATATTTGTGGTGTTGTTTTGTTTTGTTTGTTTTCCAGAAGCTTTCTGTGCTTTGAAGTTCACTTTGGAGTGACCTGCTTCTTCAAAAGGATAGATTTTTGCTGTTAGTTCATTTGAGCTAAAATTCTCAATGCATGTGCAAATAGTCTGTTAAGTTTCCCAATGCAGCTGTGAAAAAGGATTAAACTGTTCTTGTCTTTAACAAGCTGGGGAAGTCAGTCAGTCAGGGTGACAGGCAGGTGTTTCACTAGCACTAACACTAAGGAATATAATATTGCAGTGGTGGTTTATTTTTCATCTGGCATTTTTTCCTCTGAAGCTCTTGTTTGAGGCTTCACAAAATTTACATAGGAGCAATTATGTGTGAAATACTGGTAAAAGGAGAACTTGAACTTCAGCACAGTGGGAACAGCCATTTTGGTGTATCCCCTACACATCAGCTTTTGCCAGCTGTGTGTGAGGATTAGGTACTGAATGTGTGCGTGAACATAAAGCTTTTGATCGAATGCTGCCTAGTATTATGGTAATTCTTTCTTCATTGCAATGCAGAGTGATGTTCTCCTTGTTCTGTGTTAAGAACAGCTCAGATTTGTGACGCAGCCTAATCTTCGTGACAGTTTTGTTAAAAATAAGGGCAAGTGAAAGCAGCATGTCACCCCCATAGTTATTTAAATGGAAATAGCAAATGTAGCAAATGGAAGTAGCAAAATAGAAATTTATGTGTTGGTATTCACAGGTTTGATGGCAGATAACTCAAAAGCAAAACCATTTTCTGTGAGTTTTGAAAGTTCCTCCTGTAGACAAAAGGGGCCTTTTACCTGCTGACTGTATTCCACGGCTCGTGATGGGCAGTTCGTTTGCTAAGAAATGTTTAGTCAGTAAATAACCCTATACAGTGCCCTGCAGGATTGGAGGGTTCTGTTTGCAGCAGCAGCACCACTCTTTGGGCTGCCCACAGTGAACCTTGGCTGGTTTTAGAAAACCCTTGCAAGAAGAGGTTTGTTTTCAGCCATACCGTGCTGTCAGCTAATCCAGCTCTCTTGGCATGGCTGTGAGGGGGAGCGGGAGCAGGAGGGAGGGGAGAGGAGCTGCGTGGAGGTGGCAGCTGCTGAATTCCCTGCAGCTCTCCAGGCGTACTGACATGGAAGAGATCCTGCCCTGGGAATCTGCACCTTGGCTTCTGCACCAGAGCCTCCTTCCTTGGCCTCCCTGGCACAATCCAGTTGCTTTTATGTAAACCCAGAGTTGTAGAGAGAGGCTGAGTGGAGTTCAGGCAGGAGGGGTGGGAGTTGCTTTGTGATGGAGCATGCAGAAGGGAGTGGAGTGGGTTGGAAAGGATGAAGGAGGAGAAGGGGGCACAGTCACTGTGGTATCTTGTTTCTCCAGTAAGGCACTGAAGGATGATATGCTGCTTCCCATTTAGGTGGCTACATTAGGCCATAATGGATCTGGCTGTTTGTACAGGTTTTCCACTTATACCAGTGGAAGATCCCTAGTAGATCCAAATAGTCTCAAATTCAGGTATCTAGCCATTGAATTTTACGTCCTTCTCCCATCTTGTCTCATTGTTCTGAGGAGAAAGCTGTCCCTGTGGTTTATACTGGACTAACATCAATTTCTGGATTACTAAAGGCAAATCTTGGAAAGAAAGCAGATCTTGAATCTGTGTGGCATGTGAGCTTCAGCAGGGGAGCAGCCAGCTGCTTGTAACTGTTCCTTAGTTGACTGCTTCTGGACTGCTTCTGGAATTACTTGTGTTCTGCAGTTGTGTGCATGGAGTGTGTTAGAAATGCTCTTCATCAGTGGTTTCGTGGGGAGCTATTGACAACATATCTCACCATGGTTGCTGTAAGCCACAGTTAAGAGTATATTTCTGTTTGTAAATGCATTGCTCTTTTGCATTATCTAGTTCTGAAGCTTTCATGCTGATTTAAACATGACTGGTTATTAATGAAGTACTTATCATTTGGTTTGTATAAGATGCAGAAAAAGACAGACTTACTGTTCCATGGAAATTGCAATTTCCTTGTAAATTGGTGCTATTGTTGGACAGAAAAAAGAGCATGTTCAGAAAGTGCTTAGATAACAAAGATTTAATTGCTTCTTCCCATTATTCTAGTTACATATCTTGTCCTGAATGATCTCACATTTATACATCTGGACTGTGGAATGTTGGGTTTTTCTTAAGGTTTCTTTTAAATTTTTATTTATTTATTAATTTAACCTTTTCCATTTAAACCAGGGAAAGATTTTATCTAAAATTTTCACTGTGCGTGCTTTTAAAGGGATGAGGAAGTGAACATTTTTGAGATTTGCTCTGGGTGTGTGTCTTTACTCCTGGGTTTCAGTTAGTGGTGTGGCCAACACCTCCAGTTCTGCTGGAATGGGGAAGTTCAGCAGCACTGCTGCAACAGAGGAGATGGACTGGGGAGCAGCAACTGGTCTCCCTAGCACAGGACACCCATACCCTGCTCCCTCCTGCAGGAGCAGTGTCCCTGTCCTGCTCCCTCCTGCAGGAGCAGTGTCATGCCCTGCTCCCTCCTGCAGGTGCAGTGTTTGGACCACGACAGCGATGGCTCCCATGACCTGATCGGTGCGGCGCAGACGACGCTGGCGCAGTTGCAAAGGGCCGGATCCAGCTCCCCGGTGAGCTTCTCCAGCCCCTGCTGGCTTAGTCCACACCTCAGGCTTTCACAAGCCCTTTTTAACATTGACCTCAGGGATACACTGTGAGTTGTGGCCTCCAAACATGAATATTTCTGTTTGTATTCTTATATTACTAAACCAACATCTGGGAAGAATGGTGTGGGAATTACATTTCTTTATTTTCTTTGGGTTCTGATACAGTTCCTATTTCTAAAGGCATCCTTGAGCCTGTTGTCTGCTGATTGCCAGCCACTTTTCCCAGCTATTTATCCTGCTTTGGCCTCCTCTGAGTCCAGTGGAAATAAAAGTGCTTGTTGGTGCTGTAACAGATGAGTCCAGAGGCACAGCTTGGCTTGGATAATGTTTGTACTGGTCACCCTCACAAGTGCTCTGGTGGCCTTGCCAGCTAACAGGGAGCAGGAGTCCTTCCAAGAGACACTCTTCTTACCTTGTCTTGGTCATCCAGTCCAGAATAGACCGAGTCACATGCTGGTGCTGCTGGTTTTGGTCTGTTGTCTGCAGTGAAACCTGACATCTCATTCTCATGGGTATGTCTCACCTAAGTTCAGGCAGATGTGTTGCACGCAGGACATAGCCCAAGACTACTCCATGTGCCAGCCAGCTTAATTTTTGTGGCCATAATCCAAAAGCTGGTGGAAGGTTCTTGCCTTTTTCCCTGGCCTGTGTGAATTCAGAACCAATGTGAGAGAAACCAAGCAGTTAAACGCTGCCACTGGGAACCTGTGGCCTGGCTTTTTTGGCCTCCCAACCCCAAGATTTTGCCTCCTCTGCCCAGTGCTGGTGGCAAAAGTATCCCATCTAGTTCATCAGATAGCAACCAAAGTAGTTGCAGACCTTTTTAAAATTAAATTTTTGAGTTCTGCTGGGTATTTGGGTAACTCTGAAATTGTGTGATGTGTGACACTGTTCTGTTTCCATAATTTGCTCTGCTGTAAGTGCAGATATTTTGGAACTTGATTCTTCTATGCTTGCTTTCTGTAGGTGGAATTTGAATGCATTCATCCTGAGAAAAAACAAAAGAAAAAGAGCTATAAAAACTCTGGCATTATTAGGATAAAATCCTGTAAGGTAGGAAGCTTTTTGTTGGGTTTTTTTTTGCTTTTTTTATATCCTGATCATAATGAAATGAGTAGGTGTAACACAGTCTGTCTGTTCCTCTAGATTGAGACAGAATATTCATTTCTGGACTATGTGATGGGAGGCTGCCAGATTAACTTCACAGTGAGTTGTTTCCCCTCTGCTTGTCTTGGTGGATGACAGGATGAGCAGTGAGGTTGTGTACTTCTGTTGGCAGTGTGAATGACTGCAAATACAGTGTGAGTTTGCAGTGATGAAGTCTACAAAACCCAAATGATATTATATTTTTACTTTTTGTGATCAAGTAGCACTTTAATGGAGCTCAGACTTCTTAAACTTCTTTTGAGAAATTGGTTCAGTCTGTCAGTGGAAAGGATTGCTACTGCTTAAAAATGCCTGTACCCCAGTGAGAAAAGGGGTGCAGGCTTGTGTGCCTGTTCTATGTAGAGCTGCTGGATTTCTGGATGTGGTTAGTTCTTCTGTTTGCTTGTGGTGACATATCAGTGACTTGCTGCCATCATCTTGACTGATTAGGTGGGTGTAGACTTCACTGCCTCCAATGGAGATCCCAGGTCACCAGATTCTCTTCACCACATCAGCCCAGATGGGATAAATGAGTACCTGATTGCCATCTGGAGTGTGGGAAGTGTAGTCCAGGATTATGACACGTATGTAATGATCCTGAGTGATCTAGTCACCTCACCAAAATTGTGTCACAGCAGATCAGTGCTCATAGTTTGTTCCAGACCTGTAACATTTTAATGACTGAGGGGCTGCCTTCCCCTGGGAGATCCCTTAAGGAGCTGCTCCTGTTTCCTCTTGCTTGTCAGTGCCAGGGAGGGCAATGGCAGCCCTTCATAATTTGGCATCTTTGCTTGGCTCCTGCTCTGCCCTGGGTCCCTCTGTACTGCTGCTTTAGCTGGTCACTGCTCCCTCGTTGCTGATGGTGCATTGCAAACATGAATGTCTTATTTGATTCAATGGCAATATGTTTGTCTGCTCTGTCCTGTGACCAGGCTGGGGTGGGGTCGGGCTTTTCTCCTGCTACTTTGAAATCTCCTGAGACTCCTGTGGGGTGCTATGCTGAAGGAAGTTCTGTAACTGTCAAGCCCAAGCCTGAATCCCTTGGGTACCTGGTGCCTGGCTGTGGGCAGCTAGATGATGTACCAATTCCTTATAGCAGGAATTCAGTCTTGGTCTCCAGCTGTTTTCTTAGAATAAAACAGAAGAATGAGTTACTAAAGAATTGCTCTTTCTCATTTCTTGTTGTTCTTTCTTTCCAGGGACAAGCTGTTTCCTGCATTTGGGTTTGGAGCTCAGGTTCCTCCTAACTGGCAGGTAGGGCCTTCACGACACTGTGCACTTGCTCTGTCTATGTTTGCATTCCCTAACTGATTGTCATGTCCCCTTTCTCAGGTGTCTCATGAGTTTGCTTTGAACTTCAACCCCAGCAACCCTTATTGCCCAGGTGAGGACAACTCTTTGTTAATAATGTCACTGAGAGGGGCAGATGTTCAAAGTGCTGTGTTTGTTTCATAACTGGTGAAAATCAGATGCAGCACTGCTGCACTGAGGCTTGGGGCAAACTAGGTTTACTGTCACCTGGATGCTGACAAGAGCAGATGTGTGTTGTTGCAGACTTCAGTGAAGGGGTCTAGGTTTAATTTGATTGTTTGTCTGTACTAAAGTTTTTGTTGTTTCAACTTGGTTACTTCTGCTAGGTTCCAGGTGGCAGTGGATTGAGCTCAGCAGTGTGTCTGTGCTCGTCACACTTCAGAGCCACCATGTGCTGAGGCTGTTAGAAACCAGGGTTACTTCACCAGCAGTGTGGAGATATGGGCATATGTTTGACTGCTCTCTTTTAAAGTTTGTCTTAAAAGCTTGGGGTTTTTTGTAGCCATGTTCTTCAGTGGAGGTTGTTTGGGCTTATGTTGGGTTTGCATGGCAGGGTTTTGGTAGTGGGGGCTGCAGGGGTGGCTTCTGTGAGAAGCTGCTGGAAGCTTCCCCTGTGTCCAATGGAGATGATGCCAGATGGCTCCAAGACAGACCCACCATGGGCCAAGTCCAAGCCCATCAGTGATGGTGGCAGCACCTCTGGATAACAGATTTAAGAAGGGGGTAAAAACCCCCAGTGCAGCAGTGATTGGAAGGAAGGAGTGAGAGTATGTGAAAGGAACAACTCTGGAGACTCCAAGGTTGGTAGAGAAGCAGGAGGTGCTCCAGGCGCTCGAGCAGAGATTCCCCTGCAGCCTGTGGGGCAGACACAGGGCACCTGTGCCCCTGCAGCCCATGGAGGCCCCACCTGGAGCAGTCTGTTCCAGCACTGCAAGCAGCAGTGGCAAATAAAGCTACATTGATACAAGCCAGGAAAAGGCCAATTTAGATGGATCCAGAGAAGAATACGTACCATTTAAAATCAGACTTAAAAAAAAAATTTGTTTAGTTAACCTGAGAAAAGCTTCTCATGTAGAAGAACCTTAGGGATTGCTATTTCCATTACAGAAATGTTTGAATCCTGAATCAGAGATTGTTGTCTAACCTCCACACAAGGAATAGGAGAAGTTACTGTTCCAGAGAGCTTCTGACCTTGTTGTCTAATTAGACCATAAGCAATTAAACAAGGCAAATTGGTTGACAAGGTAGAAAGGACAAGGTAAACATAGTCCTGCCTCTGATCTTCATGTTCCCAGTTATCTCACTTGTGTTGGTGACCAACAGATCCAGTAAGGCAGTCCCTCTGGTAGGGCTCTTGATTACCTGGGTCAAGAGGTTGTCCTCCATGCATTCCAGAAGTCTCCTGCATTGCCTACAGCTCACTGTGCTGCTTTCCCAGCAGATGTCAGGATGGTCCAAGTCCCCCAGGAGGACGAGGGCTGGCGAGTATGATGCCGTAGCTGGAGCAGGAGGGCTTCATCAATAGGCTGCCCTTTATCAGGTGGCCTGTAGTAGACCCTAACCACAAGGTTCCCTTTGTTGTCTCAGTCTCTGATTTTTACTCACAGGCTTTTGAGCTGCTCATGGTTGTTCTTCAGAGGCAGCTTTTCACACTCAATCCACCTCTTGATGTAGAGAGCAACTCTTCCACCTCTCCTTCCTCCCCTGTCCCTTCTGAACAGCCTGTAGCCATCCCTTGCTGCAGTCCAGTCATAAGATTTGTCCAGTGTTACCAAGTTTCAGTAATGGCAACAAGGTTGTAGTTTCCAGCAGCATGGTGGCTTCCAACTCCTCCTGCTTGTTGCCTGTGCTGAGTGCACTGGTGTGAAGGCACCTCAGCTGGGCTGATGGCTGTGTCACCTTCCTAGAGGAACAGCCCTTAATTCCTTTGAAATCATTTTCTGGTGTTTCCCTGTTGGTTTTATTACTTTAGGAGTTCCTGGCTCATCTCTATAAGAGTAGGAGTGTGTTGCACAGTTCAGAGTCAGCGGGGTATAGATGCACTTCAGCTGGGCTATGGATTTCACGCCCAACACTGACATGCCACCCCTAGGCTCATCTCTGCCAAGCCTGCTCTTATCCCCTCCCTCCTTCAAACCTAATTTAAAGCCCTCTCAGTCAGCCCTGCCAACTCACAGGCCAGAATCCTGAGCCTTTGTGATGTTAGAGGCACAAAGAGTGACATGTGAAGAATGTAGAATGGGGCAGAAATGTGCAAATCTGATCTCTGCAGCTGTCCACTGGTTTCATCTCTGTGCTTCTTGTATTTCCTGTTATCTTGCTGCTTATTTGCCCTTCAGGAGTTCACAGCTGTGTGAGTTATCCTTTATTTAGTAATGCTTGTAAAATAATGGCTGGAAAATTGTGGTGCTCTCGTGGCTCTTACTTCCTTGTGTTGCAGGGATCCAAGGAGTAGTGGATGCCTACCGCCAGATCCTGCCTCAGATCCGACTCTACGGGCCAACCAACTTCTCTCCCATCATAAACCACGTGGCAAGGTTTGCAGCACACTCCATGCAACAAGGAACTGCTGCAGTGAGTGCAAGACCTTTACTATGGATCTGCTTTGGGTTGATGTTTCTGTTTTCCATGTTTATGATGGGATAGAATGGAACAGTAAAGCGATGTTATCTTCCTTCCTTAGAATCCCAAGTTTGGTCCTCTGTTACCAGCCCACAGAGAGGCTATTGGTGCTCTCTTGGTCCATACTGATAGGAACCTAAACTGGATAGACTTGGACATTAGTGTCATTGCTCAGGTCGCATTTCTTTTGCTCTGTCCCAGTGTGCTGGCAGTGTACTCACAGTACAGGGCTGTGTTGGCTCTTACAGCAGCTGGACTCTGGCAGCAGTTGTCTCGCTCTAATCTCTCTATGTGCATTCTCTGTAGGGGAATGCACATCATATAGAGGGGCTCTAGATGTTTTGTGCCAAACAATTTTGCTCTCAAGAATGTCCACAAAGACCTCCTCCAAGAAACTATCAGAGAGCTTGACTGTCCCACAGCGGTGCAAGGACCCTGAGAACTGTTCCACCGGTGTGCCGACTGCAGAGTGCCTGCCCTGCCCTCTGGTTGTGTGGCAGGGCTCACTCGTGGGCTTCCATGGCCACTCTTAAAATTCAACTTTGTCTCTTTAAACTTTGTTCCTTTTTTTAAGGGTGAAGGAGTTGGATTTCCTGATGCATTTTAACTGATTCCAGTTTTGATAGACCAATGAGAAGGAATTTTGACATACACTCTGCTACTTGTTTTATTGTATGGCCGTGTCAGTATTTTTGGTGCTACTTATGTTTGTGTGTGTATTGAATACATTTCCCACACTGTGAGGCACTTGGGCTAGGGAGATCCATTTCTTACATTTCTGAGAGTATTTTTTAGCCTTCACAACACTTTGAGGGGATCTTCTCAATTTTCCTTAGGTGTTAAATATCTCTTCTTTTTCTTTCAGATTGAAAGCTAACTATTTAAATAAAGAATCTGTCAGCAGTGGGGTACAAAAATAGTAACCCTCGTGTTACCTGTGTTTTGGAATTGGAAATTAGTTTTCTCTTATTTTCATTGCGTTCCCCTCATTTTAAGCCTGTAGATGGCTGCTATAAAACACCAGTTGCTCATTTCAGAACCAGATACTAAACCTTAGTTTCTGGGGAAGGATGGAAATTTTAAACACTTTGCCATGCTAATGAGTGTGAGGTACTTCTTTCTTTCTAGAAAAGCTGCTGTATTCTTCCCCTCAGTTATCTCTAGAGTGTCTTTGTCTCATGTTGTCATTGCTGTGTTTTGAGATTTCTGATACTTAGAATACTTATAATTTAAATTATTAGTAACAAAAAAAAAGAAGGCTTTTTGAGTTACACTGCAGGGATATTAAATACCTTTAGCCTTTCTGAGATGTCAGTCAGTAAAACAGCACCCATCGGTGAATTTTGAATGTGTGGATTAGTCGTACTTTTCATCTCTAATACTTTTTGCCAATTGATGTAACTGTTCTTTATAAATTGAACTTAATCCTTTATCTTTTTTCTAGTACAGAGGAAATCTGAAGTGCACACAGAAAATAGTTAGGCATAGGAAAAAATGGGGATAAACATAAGTTTCTTTTGTCTTATCCACAGCAACATCTGATTTCTTTCTTAGCAAAGAGATTGCTATATTTGCCTTCAGTTACGTGAGTTTTGGTGTTGAAATACCTAACTGGGGGCTTTCTTATGTTTTTCAGCACTATTATATCTTGCTGATCATCACAGATGGAGAGATCACTGACCTGGACCAAACCAGGCAGGCGATTGTCGAGGCCTCCAAGCTGCCCATGTCCATCATTATTGTGGGCGTTGGCGAAGCCGATTTCAAAGCGATGGAGTTCCTTGATGGAGACAACGGTGTCCTGAAGTCTGTGACAGGAGAGCCAGCTGCACGGGACATCGTGCAGTTTGTGCCCTTCCGGCAGTTCAGAAATGTAAGTTGTTTTTGAAGGCAGAAGAGCCCTGGAGCCAGTATTCATACATCCTAGAAGTGACCACAGTGTTGGCAAGGCAGCAGGCTGCTCGTTCCCAGTGCGGGCTGAGGGGTTTGCCCCTGTGTTCACAGCTCAGTGCCTCTTGGTCTTGCAGCGTTTTCTCAAAGAGCCCTGCTGGTATCATTGATAACGTGGGTTGTCTCTTGGCAGGGTTAAAGGGATGCAAACGTTTAGGCAAGGAACTGAGATCATGTTGTCAGTCTCTGATGTTGAGTCCCACGCGTGACTGAAGTTGGAATCAGTCCTCCCTGCTGTTGAAAGCAGTCCTGTCATTCCTCAGCTCCTCCCAACTTGCAGGGCCGGCACTGCCGTTTGCACAGTGAACTGGGTTGGAGGGCGAGTCCGGTGAACACCCACATAGCAGACATTGCTGTCACTGGGGCAGTTGGGCACTCAGGTCGGGGCCATATAAAGGCTGTGTGAGTCTGGGGTTCAGGTGGGAGCGAGTGGTTTTCATCAGCAGTGCTCACTGAGACTGACTGGAAGTGCCCCTAAAGCTGTAGCAAGCAACTCTTAAAACAGGGAGTGAGTGTGGCAGGTGGGGACTGCGCTCGGAATTCCATTAGGGAGTTTTCCACTGGGCTGACAAATCAACAAATCTGTTCTCTGCCATGTTGCTGATTTATTCTCCCTGTTCTCCCTCCAGGCTCCCCGGGAAGCGCTCTCCCAGGTGGTTCTGGCTGAAGTGCCCAAGCAGTTGGTCTCCTACTATAAATGGAAGGGGTGGCCCCCCCTGAAGCCCCCGGAAATCAAGGCCGTGTAATTCGGGCTGGCCTGTCCCCCTGGGTGAAGAGCTGCCTGCACCCACGCTCTCCCTGGCACACCGTGGGTGCCTGGGGCCTTGAGGTTGCACTGCTCACAGCACTTCTTTCACCTGCTTGTGCTCTGAGTCTGATCTTTCCTGTTCCTAGACGGAAGAACTGCAAATATGGGGAAACCCCCACAGAAAAATGGACCTTGTTGGTTTTCCACCTTGCAACAGTGTCACGTTGTGACACATCACACCACCTGTCCTTGCTCTGCTGCTGGCTCTCGGAGGGGGCTGTGCCCTGAGCTGCTCACACAGCACTGCTGCGGTGCTGAGCTGGAGGGGAGAAGTGTTACACCCGTGTTCGCTGCAACAACACTTACCATGTGCTCCTTGATAGGTGTTTTTCTTCTGTCAAGCTACCTTGGAAATGGGGACCCTTCTGTCCTGGATGTGACCAAAGACTGTTGGTTGGATGCCTGAGGTAGTTCCTTTTGTGCCTTCCTAAAGTGCCAGTATTTTTTATATGTAGAGGTTTATTTTTAAATTTCAGTGACCATGTTTTGCTATCTTTTTTTAATCACATTTTTCTATTAGCAAAATTTGCTTCTGTGATGAGCTCCTGCTTAGAGCCATTGTTACATCTTAAGAACATTGCACTTTGCTTATTTGTGGGGGATCAGTGAGGATTAATCGTTAATTAATGGGGTGGGGTGGGATTAATGAGTCACATTAGTGTGACTTTAAAAATTCAGCAACTGGAAACACTAAAATGAAGATGTTTTGAGTCATTTCTTTTTGTCACACAAGTTACAAAATGAAGAAGTAACTATCTGTGGAACTCCAGAGAGGTGCTTCCTTGTCCTCAGGAGTGTGAAGTGTGCATTGCATGGTCTGGGGACTGGAGAACAGGCACATGACAGCAAAGCACAATTGCTTTGAGGGATGGGAATTGATGGTTCATTTCAAAATAGAGATAAAGAAACCTGGGCTTGTCATTGCACTACAAGTGGTCATCACTTCCAGTTACATAAATCAATAATCTGCTTTGACTTACATAACATGTCTGGACTCTTATTTCCTTCCTGGACTTCTCTTTTTGCTTTCCAGCAATGTGGCTGGTGGTGTTTCAGCATCTGAGTGAGCCTAGGTTGAGTGTGATCCAAAAAAAGTAGAGCCAGTTGTCCATCATTGTTAATTTTGTTCCCTGTTAATCACTGACTGCTGAATCCTGCAGCAAGATGAGCTGTGTCTTTATTGTGAAATTATGAAAGAACTTCTCTGTTCTACCAGATGAACCCTGAAATGGTGAGAATACGTTGGCACACTGCACTGGTGATCCAGGCCCTGAAACTGGTTAAGTTACAAACCTGTGTGAAGGCAGAACCTAAGGCTGAAGTCTCACCCTAAACTAGGCTAGTCATTCTGGATGGACTCTGCCACCAAAATACCACTACATGGCTTGTGCTTGAAGGGCTGTGGGGCCAGGACCACTGCTGAGCCAAGATGAATCTGTGCTAATTTGTTATTCAAACCTATTTCTGACCGTGATATGTTCTCCCAGGTTACACAGGCAGCAGCCAGCTTCCTCTAGAGAAAGCTGGACTGTTTCCTCTCACCTACCATGCTGCACCACATTTTCTTGCACTTCTTGCATTCTAAGTCTTGCACTTCAAGACTTAGAGTCTTGAAGAAACCAAGCAACCTCTCTTCTTGAGTGGCTGTTTAAACTGAAATGTGTTACAAGTGTGGAAGAGAGGAAAACTGCCAAGTCTTCTCTGAGAAACTGCAGTGTGATGGAGAACATCCTTTACTCATGTTTTCAGGCGCTTGCAGCCTGTAGACAGAGCTCTCCTTCCCTGTGTGATGCCTACAAGAAACCTAAGGCTATTTTTTTTGTGTGTGTATATTTTGAAATCCATTTTACCTCTCCTTTTTAAACCTCTGCCAGCTCCCACTCAAAGGAAGAGAGTGAATCCTCCATGTCTCTGCACTCTGAGGAGTAGAGTCACTGGTCTGCAGCTAGCTGAGGGGTTTCCAGGTGTTGGACTCTTTGGTGGTAGGAGAGACCTTTCCTGTTCTGGGGAGGAATTGGCCAAGATGTGGCAGAGGTAGGTCTGAGGAACTACTTCTCCCTGTGGGAGCAAAACAGAATTTGGAGGAGACGCTCTTTATTCACAAATAAATGGCTGAAATGTGAGCAGGAAAAGGGACACAAATCCTGCAGTTGTCACTTGAGAACAAGAGCTGATGGGTGTGGGCCCAGGTGAAAAGCCTTGGGAGGGTCAAGCTTGGAAGCTGCTGACCTGGCATGGCAGAGTTTTGTCAGTTTTCTCTCATTCTTGACTCTCCTCAGGACACCAGGCTTTAGAGGAAGTGCAGCACTTTGGAAGGCTGGCAAGTCTGTCTCCTGCCACGTGCTGCCCTGGGTGTAGCTGGAATGCAGACTGATGGCATGGCTGTTTTTGGAGTTAGAGGAGAGGTCAGGTTGGAGCTCAGGTTACCCACGTGTTCTCGCTCAGTGCCGGCACAGGCTCTGTCCCTGCCAGTCACTGTCTTTGTTTATCTCTGTAGTGAGCATGGGGAACACCCCAGAAGTCTCTTTACCCTGACCAAGATTGAACAAACACCCTTGGACTTGTGATCCCTAAAGGTATTTCAGCCTCAGGGCTGTGTATAAATCAAAAGCTGTTGCAGGAGCTCACTGGGGAGAGTTCCTCTTTCTTCCTGGACATCTGGCAATAAATATTGGTGACATGTCATGCCAGATTATGCCACACTACCTGACAGCTCCCTCCTCTGTAGGAGATGATGCTCCATCCCCCTTCTTTGCCCAGATAACTGGTTGGGCTAATGGCCTTCCCTGGGGTCTAAAACATTTGGTTCCCCTGGACTGTTTTGCTAAAAAAAGGCAATGGGATTGCTCCAGGTATTTGAGGAAGTCACACAAACTCCACTGGGAGATTCTGTCTTTTGATCAGCTTTGAGCAAGTAGCAGCATACTTCGGTGGTCTGGATGTCTCACTAAACTACCTAAATTGCACTTCTTGGCCCCCTCCAGCCATGACTGGATGTGGGGTCAGTGCACTGAGCTTTCTGTGCTGCCCTAAACTGATGGGCTTGCTTGTTTGGGTTCACGGAAGTGGTGCTGAGTGCTGCCAGCCTGCTATGCTGTGAAGCTGCATCCTTCCACTCTGGCACGCTGGTGTGCTTCCACTGCCTCCAGCACCACTTCCCAGGTGCTCCAGGAAGTGCTTGTGCAAGAAGGGAATAAAGGGAATATCCGCAGGGCTTGCTTTGAAGCAGCTGGCATTGAACAGCTATGATTCACTCCTTTGTGTTTGTGGAGCTGGATGAGCCACCCTGGCCTGCTGCAAGGCACCCTGTACAGTGTGTGTGCGTGCAGGTGTTTGCTGCTGGCTGCTGAGAGAGAACCAGAACCTCAGGAGAAAGAAATGCTCTCCAAATTCTGCTCAGCTCACGGTTGTTTGATTGTTTTTTTTCTGGCCCGCATCTGTGCTCTGTAAGGGCTCTGGCATCTCTATCAGCTCTCGCACAGGTGAGATGAGCTGTCTCAGGCCCAAGGGGGTGCAGTGGGGAGCACAGCGTGCCCCTTCTTCCTCTTCCCTCTCCTGGTGCCAGTGCCCTGTGGAGCAGCTGAAGCTCCTGCCCCGCTGTCTGGGGGTTTTGGTGCTTGTCCGTGTCCTGCAGAGGGCTGGCAGCTGGGCTGCAGCCGCTGTCCCCGTCCCGCTGTGGCGTCCCCGCTCTGCTGCACAGCCCGTCGGGTCCCTGCTCGGGGGCTGCTGAGCACAGGCTGTTTCCCTGTGTCAGGAGAACCCAACCCTCACAGTCTGAGGGCTGTGGTGAGCGGTCCAGCAAGCTGCCCTTTCCCCTCCTCCCTGTGTTTGCTTTGGAGGGTTTTAACCACCGGAGCCGTGATTTTGAGCCGGGACAGGTGCAGGGTGGCTGAAAGCAGAGCCGGGCTCTGCCCTCGCTGCAGCACTTGGACCGGAGTCTCCCAGCCCTGACTTCAGTCCCCAGGCATCAGCCCCGAGCTGGAGCGGGGCCGTGCGATGGGGATATTCACTTCTGCCGTTCCCAGCCTGGGAAGGGAGAGCACCCGCTGCTCCCCGGCCCCCACAGCGCAGG